TTTCCCATTGCCCTCATGCTCTGCTTATAGGCCTAGAGCCCTGCAGAACTGGATTTGCACATTTCTTCCCAAAGAAATGATATTAAGGATTGTCTGGACAACAAGCATAAGAATCCTGCCTGGCAGCCCTGGCCGCCTGTCCCTGGTGGAGGACTTGGGTCAGGTCAGAGTTTGCAGCTTCTCACCAGAGTCTGTGCCGGAGGCCATCCTGAGTCTCCGATTTCTCAGAGTCCCTTCAACCTCAGGGGCCTCTTCTAGGTGTGCAGAACAGCAAGGTGTTCCTCTGTGTCCTCCTGAACTTGTTCTCTGTGCTCTGGGTGGATGGAGGTGTCGGCTGTGCCCTGGTGGGTGGGTGTGGACAGACTGTGCCTCTCTTACAGGACCTGTGGCGGATCCGGAGCCCCTGTGGTGACTGCGAAGGCTTCGACGTGAACATCATGGATGATATGATTAAGGTAGAAAGGATTGCAGCCCTAGGTGACTGGAGCCGCCCTTTTCCACTGCCATTGCACATTGACCCCAGGCCACTGGCAAGGACATCTGGCTTGGGTGGCACAAGTGGTGTGCAGAGGGCCTTCTGTTTGGGGTGGTGAGGGTAGGCACTGCCATTTTGCTCAGTGTGCCATAACATTGGCCCAAGAGCTCCCTTATGTCTGCCCCTGCCCCTTTTCACCTGGATGCCAGGGCCTTCCCTAGCTCTGGGGTTGCTGGGTTAAATGTTTATCTCTCTCTCCAGCCTGTGAGTCTCCTGTTGGCTGGTTGGAGTGGGTTAGGACCCAGGTGCCTGGGTGTTTTCATCTGTATAGACATTTGGTTCTCAGAATAGCTCAAGAGATAGGCATTAAAACAGGAGAAAGTGGGAACCAGCAGTTAGCGTAATGGCTATGTAGCTGGACTCCCACGTATTCGACCGCGGTTCGTGTCCTGGACCCAGTGGCTTAAAACTCACGCCGGGCGCGTGTGCGTGTGTGCCCAAGATCCTGAGAGGAGAATGGAGGAGAAGGGATTGCAGTGTGGCCATCCCCCCTGGGGGGTGATTTCTCGCTTTCTGTCTCTATGTCTCTCTGTCTGTCTGGTGAGCGCACACGCCCTATAGCAAAAACCTCTCCAAAAAAAAAAAAAAACAGGAGAAAGTATGGGGCCAACAGGTGGCATGGTAGTTAAGGTGCTAAACTCACACATGGTGGACCGTGGTTCAAGCACCAGACCTAGAGACTTGAAAATCGCACCAGGTGCGTGTGCGTGCATGCCCAGAATCCTGAGAGGAGAATGGAGGAGAAGGGTTTGTGGCATGGCTATTCCTCTAAGGGGTGAGTTCTCACTGTCTCTCTCTCTGTCTTACAAGTACATGCGCCCAATGGCAAAAATCTGAAAAAAAAAAAAAAAACAAAAACAGGACAAAGTGAAGAGAAGTGAAGTGATGTCCAGGGGCTGGCTGAGGAGTGGGCTGGGAGGGAGAATCTAGCTGATCTGTCTCACCTCTCTCCTCCTCCCAGCAAGCCCTGGACTTCAGGGAGAGCAAGGAGGCTGAGCCCCACCCGCTGTGGGAGTACCCCTGCCGTAGCCTGTCCGACCCTCTACGCATCTTGACGTTCGATTTTCAGCAGCCAGTCCCTAAGCAGCCCGTGCGGGCTGAGGGCTCCGTGGAGCTGAGGAGGTGAGGGGGGTGAGGGAAGTAGGGATTTGTAGCCCACTCACTGAAGCACAGCTGGCCTGGGAGACAAACCAGCCCACTTGCGAGTGGTGGAATGGCCCGTCCTTGCCCCATCCCTGCCCTTCTTGTCAGAAGCAGCCCTCGGTGTGCTGCACGCCCACAGTTTGGGGATGTGTGAGTGGGGAGGGAGAGTCAAGGTGCGCTTTGCTCGTCCCCCATATCTGAGGCTCCCTGGGGGATCGGAGCTGCAGAGAAACGTGAGTTTTGTTACTATGGTTACGCATTGGGAATTAAAATTCAGGTTGTGGGAATTAAAATTCAGGTTCTTAATTGGCGAGGGCCACTTGTCACGAGGCAATCAGACCCCATCCAGCCCCAGCTCCCTTTGTGGGGAGGAGCTGCTTCTCTGGAGAAGAACCTCCTTCTAACTAAGGGAGGCCACAAACTCAGAGCTCTCCAGGGCTCCTGGATGAGGGGCAGGCAGCACAGGAGGCAAGTGCCATCTCCCATTAGGAGTCAGAGCTTGTAGGGCTGTTGCCTGCTTATCTGGTGTGGGGGGGGGGGGCTCTTTTTCCCTGGGTGGCAGGGCTGCACTCTGGGCCTCTGGACACCCCCCAGGGGACCTGCCTGCCCATGTCTGCTCCAGATGCTTGGCCAGGCTACAGGAGCAAAGGGCTCCAAGCTGTGGCTTTTGGTGCTTAGCCTCTTCTGTGTGTTCATTAGTGAGGTGCAGTGTTGAAAGCTCCTGACTGGCAGAGCAGAAGTGGGGCAGACAGAGGTTTCTGAAAAGCAGAGGGGAGCCGTGGCTATGCCCAGCCGCCCTTTGTGTGACTGTTCTTCGTGTGACTCCCCAGGCCTGGGAGGAGCCATGGGGCCATCCTGTGGATGGAGTACCAGCTGACCCCAGACAGCACGATCAGCACCGGCCTCCTGAAGCCTCCAGAGGACAAGGTAGTACTGTGTGTGCCCAGCCTGAGAGCAGGAGCTGCCTGGGGAGGCTGTGTCACCCTTTGTGGTCTGGGTATTCCTGTCACATGTCCTTCAGTTGATAACTCCTCTGTACTGAGTCGTCTAAGCTGGCGCCAGGTAGCCTTCACTATCTTCCTGCTGCTCTGCCCACAGGGGGACTGCTGCTGGAACCCCCACTGCAAACAGGCTGTGTACTTCTTCAGCACCATGCTGGACCCCAGAGGGCCTCTGGGCGGCCCTCAGTCAGTCAGCTACACTGTGGAGTTTCACCCCCACACTGGAGATGTCACCATGGAGTTCAGGCTCACAGACACCCAGGACCAACCCTCACTTGTTGAGAAATAAGGTGGCCCAAGAGTTGCGGGCTCTGAGTGATTGTGGCTCCTGGGGAAGGAAGCCAAAGGTGCTCCTCTCCTGCTAGGGGTCTGCTCAGCCTCAGGGCATGCAGGAGACTGCTTCCATGTTTGCATCTGCTGGCCTCTGGCTCCAGCTGTGGCAGGCAGCATGGAGGTAGTGATGACTGATTATGGGGTGCTGGACAGCCATACCACCTTGTCTGTGGTTCTCAGGTGCTCAGCTCCAAGGCAGTGTAGTCTTCTGCCCTTCCCTGAAGGGGAAGTACAGGAGTCTGGCTGGGGTGAGTGGTTGGGGCTGCCTGTGCTGTTCTCTTGGCTGAACATTGCCAATGTGAGCCTGCCCTGCCTGCCCTGTACTCTGGGGATCTCCAGGTCCCTGCCCACTGGGTCATGGCTGGACAGGGTCAAGACTGGTCCAGAGCAGTTCCTGAGATGCAGACCATGAAGCCAGCCAACAGGAAAGGGGAGGTACAGCCCTTTCCCATGTGCCCAGGTGTCAGAGGGCCCCTCCTCCCAACCCCTGTTGTGCCTCGCCTTTTGCCAGACTCCTAGGGACCACAGCCTGGTTCCTTCTGCACGTTCAGGCGTCTTGTGGCTGTTGACCTCATTGCTCAGAGGAGACACCAAGCCAGAGAACCCATTGGCCCAGTGTCCTCATGTTTTAGGACAGAGTTAGTTTGTGTCCACTGTGTGTGTGAAGGCAAGAGACAGGCTGTCCTTGCGTGGCACTCCCACCATGGCCGACCCCACCCTGCCCTACCCCAACTTGTTGCTCAAATAAGTGGAGACCAGCCTTGAGCCTCACAGTTTTATTTCCTCCTCAGTATCCATCCTTACTTTCAGCACCAATAAAGGAAAAAAAACCACCTCTCTTTTCAAAATATTTTATCAGGTGTAAAGATTATTTTTCTTCTAGGGAAGAATCGTCTGGATGTATATTTGATGGTGTTTTTACCAAACCCTTATGTGTGCTTACCATATAAAACCCCTAATGTCCCATGAGAATACATACAGAAAAAATACAGAAATTAAAAAAGTTTTTTTTTAAAACAGTATTTCTAAATCTCAGCAAGTTAATACAATAGTTAAAAAGCATCAAGATTAATATTTATACTTAAAACTGAAGGTGGTTTCGGGCAAATGAAAACAAATGCTTCCTTCCTCAGCTGACCCTGCCTGCCTCATGGCTTCTCAAGGCTGGGCCCTGGGCAGGCACGGAGCCTTGGTGTAGGATTTGGGTGACCAGCGTCCACCAACTCCCAGGCCTTAGGTGCCGTAGACACTGAGATCCTGGCGATGTTTCTTGTCTTTTTTAAGAAAATTGAAATGCAAAAGCCTGGCTCGTACACAGCCCTGGGAGTCCACAGGCACACCACAGTGAAATGCGTGGTTGCGTAGTTGGGGCTTCGGCACTGAGGGAGGCATGAGGGGAGCTGGGAGGCAGGACGTCCCTGCTCTGGCTGCCAGGACTTGGCTAGGCAGAGGTGACTTTGCGATGACAGTGACTGAGGCACAGGGCGTAATAACTTGCCTAAGGCTGCCCTGGGAGTGGGAGGAGAGAAGCCTGTGGTGCTGACTCCTGTTGCCCCAAGGACAGAGGCTGCCCTGGGGACAGAAACTGGCTAGAGTCGGTAGGAACCCTGGCCTCGTGTATACACAGCTGGCTCGCAGCTTAGGTCTAAGGGCTGGGCCTGGCCAGTTGAGCCCACTGGTTTTCGCTGCTCCTGGGCAGGGGGCCCCTCCATTCTGCGAAACTAGCCAAGGCCCTGGGAGGCCAGACCCTCAGAGGAGGAGTACAGCAGAGAGCCCGGGCAGGACTGCCCTGAGCAGCCCCCTCCTAGTACAGGGGCCTGGGCTAGGGAAGTGGTCCCCAGGCCAGGTGGGCCTAGTGTCACTGTGGATGCACGTCCTGGTGCTGAGCCACCAGGGCTCTTCAGGCTTGACCTCCCATAGGACTGTGCATCTGCTGCTAGGTGCTTGGCCCCCCTTGGTCCCTCTTGCAGCTCAGTGGGTGACAAGGCACAGCATCAGTGCACCAGCACCAGAAAGTTCTGATAGCAGGTCCTGGTGCCCTCTCCAGCCTTGCTGGGTAAAGCTGGCTCTGAGCCAGGCTGGACTCAAGATGTGGGTGCTATGAGGCATGGAACCCAGTGAGGGTGGTCAAGTCAGTCCCTCAAGTTGGAGCCTTGAAATAGTAGGAGCCTCCCGGTGTGGCTGGGGAGCAGCCCCCATCTAAGGGTAGGTGGGTGGAGGCAGTGCTGCCCGGGGGCCCTGGGCACAGTCGCAGGGGGGCTTCCATGCGCCTGGTTGCCAACCAGTACCACTTTTTTCCCCAGACCGGTAGTGGCTATTGGCCTGGCCACCATAGCCTGCACCCTGGTGAGGGGACAGGCTGCCTGCCACAGCCTGGTTTCCTGCCCCTCCCTTCAGGGTCCCTTCCTAGCCTTGGAGTTGGCCCGCCCCCCGGGGGGGGGGCCGGCCTCCCTGCCACAGCCTGGTTTCCTGCCCCTCCCTTCAGGGTCCCTTCCTAGCCTTGGAGTTGGCCGGGATAGCTGTTGAGGCAGGCAGGCCTGTGAGGTCAGAGCCGCAGCCCTACCACCCCCCGGGTGTGTGTGTGGGGGGTGGGCAGGCAGTTCCTGAGCTCAGCCGGCATGTGGATGGGGAAGGTCCCCAGGGAAGGATTGGTCCTGAACCTAGGAGGTGTCTGAAGGGGAGAAGGGGATTGGTAGAAAGGAGGATGTGTTAGTTTTGATAGAGAAGAAGCTATAAATCTATCATTTTCAAAATCAGAAACCCACCCCCAACCCTTATGCTGTGAGTCCCCTTCTTCCTATAAAAAAAGTGGATGGTCTCTTCTCGGATTTCTGTTTATGGCTCCATCGCCCAGATTGGAGTCCCCTGGCACGGAGCTCTGGGACTGGCCAAAGCTGGCTGGACCCTGGTGTGCCTGGGCTGCAGGAAGGTCCCATCTCAGGAAGAGCAGGGTCTGCCTGGAGACTTAAAGACCCTTTAAAGTGAAGGGTTGATTTTTTTTTTTTTTTAACTTTCTGTATTTTCTTTTTAAAATGTAATCGCCCTTGAATGCAAGTCCCTGGGTAGGCCCTGGGCTGGCTGGTACTGACACAGCCCTGGGTCCCTGCAGCAAGCTGTCCTGGGCTGGGAGCAGGAGAGCTGGCGGCCCGTGCCCAGGACATGCTTCTTTGGCTGGTTCTGATTGTGTTTGGAGTTCGGCCTTGGGTGAGGCCCAAGCAAGGGGTCTGTGTGGCTACAGCGTGGCACGTGGCATGCGGGCAGCGTGCATGCGAGGGTGCAGGCATGCGAGACGACATTGGCAGCAGACAAAAATGAACCCTGGACGAAGCTTGAGAAGAGATACAAAGACTACGTAGCCTGGTTCTCATACTAACCCACGGGTACAAACTCGGTTGTGCTGTAGATTTGTAGAAAATTATGTTTTGAAAGAATGGCACTGGTTAGGCAGCCGGGGCTCCTGAGCCGGTCTGACTCCTGTCCGTGGCACGGGCCCAGAAATGCTGAGCAGCGCTCCTTCCAGGCTCCCCGAAGACGGACTGTGGCTCCCCTGCCTTCCTCCCCACAGCACCGGGTGCTAATGGAGAGGGCACAGCCCAGGGAGGGGCCGCGTGTCTCAAAGGCCTGGCAAAGGCCCTGCTGCCCCGGACGCTGCCAATGGGACTGGTCTACGCCTCCTCCTCCCCCGCAGACACCATCAGCCGCATGGCCACTGGGAGGTGGTCGGTTAGGCCGGACAGTTGGGTGATAAAACTGAATTCCTCCACCTCCTAGGTTGAGTGGAGAAAGGAAAAGCATCCCGATTAGACCCAGTGGGCCTCCTGCAAAGGAGGCACCTGGGGGCAGGGGCAGCAGCCTGGATCCAAGAGGTGGGGTCCCAGAGTTGAAGGTAGAGGGCTGGGACCTGAGGAAGCCCAGGGCCCTGAGATCTGAGGGAAGTGAGTGGGGGGCAGGGTGTGCTGTTAGAGGCTACAGGGCGTAGGGCCCATTCTCCCCCGATGTGGGCCCCAGACTCACGGCCTTCCAGTCCGGGCACAGCCCCTCCTCTGCGTACAGCATGTAGTCGATGCGCCTGCCATTGCCCTTCAGCAGGTCCTTGCGTCCCTTCTGGCCAGCCCCTGGACTCTTGCTGGTGGGGAACGCCAGGTACTCCCTGCGGCCTTCCTCACTCTCCAAGACCCTGCTCACACAGACAGGAAGTGTAGTGAGGCCCTTGCAGCCCAGGGCCTCGCAGGTCCTGTGTGTGCAGTTATCATCTCCCAAAGTGAGAGAGGAATAGGTCAGACCACACCTCTGGTTTCAGATGTCTTCCCCCACCTCCCCCCCCACCAAGTCCAGAAGGCCTAGGCCAGGGGAAGCCACGTCGGAGCCAGCAAGCTCCTGCTGGACCCAGCTCTCCAGTGTTGTTCACAGCTTGTCCCATGGCCACCTTGGACTGACCAGCACTTGCTTCCCTTTCTGAATCTGGACCACGTTTGCAGCTCTCTCCTACCTGCGGCCAGGTCAAGGACAGGCTAGCTCTAACTCTCTACTCTCCAGAAGGGGCTTCTGCTCCAAGCCTGTAGGGGCCTGTTTTGGGGAACTTGGTCTTTGCTCTGAGCCTCTTGAAGCTCTGAGACTCCCTGACCGTTGTTTAGGTCGGCAGGGGGCTGAGGGAGCCAGAAGAGCAAGCACCCAAGGAGTTGTACCCTTGGGTGCCACACAGCTATGTCACCAAACCTCCTTTGTGAAACAAATGTTTGCTTTGGGTCCTTAGACACCCAGGGAGTAGAACAGGGTTGGGTGGTTCTGCAGGGAGGGCAGGACATGAGGGCAGGTCTTCTGACCCCCTTTCTGTCTCCCTCCTGCCAACCTCTCTCCCTTGGCAGGCAGCTTAGGAGCCCCATGGGAGGGCAGGCAAGGCCAGGTCTAGGGGGAAACACTGATCAGGTGCCAGGTGGGTCAGTGTCTAGAGAGGCATGGCTGGCAGACAGCAACCATGGTTACTACAAGGCTTTTATCAAACAGACGATAAGTACACTAATGACATTCAGAACATTGTTACAGCTCCGACGTGTAATCCATTACTGTCCTTTGCCTTTGATAATTAATTCTAGCATCAATGATCTGAGAGTTACTGATAGTCATTTTTTAATCATCATCTCATAAAAAGATAATTTTCTCAGTATGGAATGATGTTTCAAATTTAGTCTATAATCCAATTAATTGGCTCAAATTAGCTGCAAGGCGCTATTGCCGTGACTCTGTGCAGTCTAGGGCTGTGAATTATAAATTGGCTCTGCCATTAGCCTCTCAAACGTGTCCTTTATGGAGGTCTCACTGGCTTCAGAAACGAAGTTTGGCTAGGATGGAACTGGCTCTACTTTGAAAATGATCTGGGTTACCTGCTTATATTTTTATTGACCAAATTGGTGGCTACCAGCTTCTGAGTTCCTTTCTACAGAGGTCAGCCTTGTCCTTTTTCTTGTACTCTGCAGGGCCGAAGGTAAGCTCTCGTAAAGTGAGCCCAACCCAGGGCTGCTCTGAGACTTTTCAGCAAAGTCGCCCTCCAAGCAGGAGGGCTGCCGCAGCCTCGGGCAGCCAGGCCTAGCTCCCAGCTCTCAGTTCTGCCTAGCAGAAGCCCTTGTGCCCCTGAGCTGAGCCAGCTGCTCCTTTGCAGCCCTGTGTGTCCACCTCCGGAGTCATGACTTGGGTGTCTCATGTCAGACCTGGGATATCTGGATTGGGGCCCCCCACCTCCTGTAGCAGTGTGGGTGCTTACTTTTGCAGATTTTCAGGAGTGCTCACATCTTCATCATAGAGGCCATCTGTGTCCAACAGGGTACCTGGGAAGGAGTGAGAGTATCACTACAGGCCTGGCCCAGCCAGCCTCAGGAAGGGTGGCTTCTCTGGGGCAAGAAAGGCGGATAAGGGCTTCTGTTAGCATGGGTAGCTGATTGAGGCTTTCCCCAGCAGTGGGGCCCTGGGGGTGGATCCAGGTGGTCTCCTCTCTTTTTTAATTTAAGAGTTATTTATTTGACTTTATTATTATTATTTTAATTTGAACAGAGAGACAGAGAGAGAAGTAAAGAGAAAGCAAGCTGCTGGGTCTGGGATTCAAGCTCAGCAAAGTCGCCCTCCAAGCAGGAGGGCTGCCGCAGCCTCGGGCAGCCAGGCCTAGCTCCCAGCTCTCAGTTCTGCCTAGCAGAAGCCCTTGTGCCCCTGAGCTGAGCCAGCTGCTCCTTTGCAGCCCTGTGTGTCCACCTCCGGAGTCATGACTTGGGTGTCTCATGTCAGACCTGGGATATCTGGATTGGGGCCCCCCACCTCCTGTAGCAGTGTGGGTGCTTACTTTTGCAGATTTTCAGGAGTGCTCACATCTTCATCATAGAGGCCATCTGTGTCCAACAGGGTACCTGGGAAGGAGTGAGAGTATCACTACAGGCCTGGCCCAGCCAGCCTCAGGAAGGGTGGCTTCTCTGGGGCAAGAAAGGCGGATAAGGGCTTCTGTTAGCATGGGTAGCTGATTGAGGCTTTCCCCAGCAGTGGGGCCCTGGGGGTGGATCCAGGTGGTCTCCTCTCTTTTTTAATTTAAGAGTTATTTATTTGACTTTATTATTATTATTTTAATTTGAACAGAGAGACAGAGAGAGAAGTAAAGTGAGAAAGCAAGCTGCTGGGTCTGGGATTCAAGCCATGGTCAGCCATGTGGGAGTCTAGTGCCTTAACCACCACGCCACCTGCCAGCCCCCAGGGGTTCTCTTTGAAAAGCCTTTAGGAACCCAGCCTCCCACCCCAGCCCTGGCCCAACCCTGGCTCACCGATGGCCCAGGACTTCTCCTCCCCAGGCCCCAGGCGGCAGGGGTCCTTGTAGCGTGTGAACAGGGAGTGCTGCTGCTCCAGCTTGTCCTCTGTGCAGGAGGAGGAGATGTGGGGGCTTCAGGGGGTCTGTCCTGTTCTCAAGCACCTGCCACCTGGTTCCAGTCAATTATTCCTACTAGATGCTTCCAGATTCCTGTCCTGGGGATAACTGCCTCTGGGCGGGGTTTGCAGTCCCAGACAAGTGGGCCTGTGGCTCACGACACTGGATTTCTGTATGTCCACGAGAATGCCCCACCTGTAGTGCTCCCACTCTGGTGTTCAGCTTTCCCTCTGAGGATAGTGGTCACCATCACTCTCGGGCTCAAGGGTACAGTGATCTTAAGGCCTTCACAGACCCTGTGGCAAACCCTCGTGAGGGGCTGGCAGATGCTGCCTCGGCCAGGACTCTCTTCTCAGACCTGAGTGCCCGGGTTTGAAAGAGGAGTGGGCCCCACAAGGTTCAGAGAAAAAAGTGACCTGCCTGGGGTTCCTGTTTGCTCTGCCAGCTCATCAGAGGGCCTTTCTGAGACCTTGGGAGGGAAGAAGAGAGAACTGAATGGGGTCTGGTTGTGGGGGGTGCTCCTGATTGTATCTTCCTGAGTGTTTTAAGGTAGACAGGGTCACGCCCTACCCCCGCAACATGGCTGCAGTGGAAGACCTTTCCTCTATGGTGGGGTGCTGTTCTCCCCACTCACCCTGGAGTTGCTGCTGTTGTCTAGAGATGCCTCGCTGACCCTGCACACCCTGAGACAGCTATGGCCTGCTGCCACAGGTGGGAGCACCACCCTGTGTTCTGGGTGAGACAACGGTCAGGTTTTCTGTCTTCACTGAAGCCTAGGGCCTGAACTCACAGATCCCATCATCCAACCCCATCCTCAGTCCCAGGGGCACAGTGGGCAGTGCAGAAGGAGCGCAGGTGCCAGCGGGCCCGGGATTTTCCTGACACTTGGCTCTTCGGGTCCAAGAGACTCCAAGCTCCCTCTGACTGATTCACAAACCAGTCCTTTAAATGAATTAATTACTTAAAATTTCACCAATGATGGACTTTTAGCCTTTTAGGCTAATGATCGAAAGCATATTTCCCAGGACTCAGATACTGCTTTGAACATTTATTTAGGGCTATGTGACCTTGGGGTAGTTACTCAACTTCTCTGAGTCTCAGCTTTCTCTTTTATACCATTTGGATAAATCCAGTGCTTACCTCTTAGGTTTTGCTATGGTTTGAGTATCCCCCAAATCCACGTATTGAAACTTGGTTATATTGTGGAACTGTTAAGAAGAAACTTAGTACCTTCATGGTGTTGAAAATGGGGGTTTGGGGAATGATTAAAGTGGGAGTCCTGTGATTGACTCCTTGTGGGTTTATGTGGGGGGGGCATACACACAGAGATACATAAATGGATGAACATACAGAAACATGCTCCCATCAGTGACACCGCCAACAGGAAGACCTTTACCAGGTCTGTCTCCTGGACCTCCAAACTAATCTGAATAAATCTCTGTTCTCTTAAATTACCCAGGCTCAGAGATTCTGTTTTCAGCAACAGAACAGACTAGAAGAGGGTTGTCATGAGCCTTGAGTGAAACAGCAGCCAGAGTCCTGCCTGGCACAGTGTAAGAGCTGAATTGATCCTTGGCGAGTATTATTAGCCAACGCTCCCTTGGTCTGAGTCTCAGAGGCCCCAGCCTTCCTTGTCAGAGGTTCATTTTTATGGCTTCATCTCTAGCAAAGAGGACTCTAAACTTCCTAGGCAGGGACCAGCTCTTCCTGTGTAGAATTTCTAGGGGGCAGAGAAATCCTCATCTTGCTGGATATCCCATATGCCCCTGGGAAGTTTCTCAAACTGACTAACTGGTGTCTCTGACTGTGACTGGAGCCCACGCCCTCTCCAGAGTTGCAGACCCCAGTGGGGAGGAACACAGCCTCACCAGAGGAGCAGTTGTCAAAGTTTAAATCTCCGCAGAAAACGTCAAACGCCACCAGCTCGTCAGGGTTGGCTGCGCTGGACGAGGAGGTAGATTTTCGGAAATCAGCCAGCCAGTCCTGAAGCAGGTCCAGCTGCTCACACCGGATGGCACTGTCCTCTGTGGGGCAGAAACAGAGACCGGACGAGGAGGCGAGTGGCCAGACCTTAGGCAGTGCCCTCCACCCCCCAACTCCAGTAACCCATGGGCTGGCCACCCTACCTGCAATGGCGTGCAGGTGTGTGCAGGCAATGTACCCGACAATTCTTTGGTCCTGAGGTGTGCTTCCCACCTGCACCTAGGGGAGGAGGCCAGTGTCAGTGATGCCACCAACCAGTCATCAAGACCCTGCGCCAGCACAAAGGGACACTGGCAGTGTCCATACACTCACAAGATCCAACCCTCACAAGCCCAGCTCTGTGCCAGGCTCCTGTCTGGACCAGGACTCAGGTAAGCACAAGACGGGTCCTAGTTCTGGGGGCTCACAGGTCAGCACAGGAGGCAGGTTATCAATGGCATCCCAGCCTGTGTGTGGGCTGTGCCAAGAGCAGTCTGTGCAAGGCATCGTGGGAGGAACACAGAAACCACAACAGAGTCCCTACTCATCCACACCATCTCCTGAGGGGACCAGGCCATCCATATGCATGGCCCTCAGTTCCCTATCCACACATATCTGGTGGCTCTTTCATCTGTCCTTCCCTCCCTTCCATGGTCCTACCCTAGACCTGATCCTGCCTTGGTGCTCCTCTCTGAACTCTCAGATGCCTTTCTGTGACGTGGCCTAGCCTCAAAGCATGGCCCCTCCCTCTACTGGGAGAGGCCCCAGACCCTCCCACGCTCCTGCTTTCCCTGATCTGTCCCTCTGGTCACATAGTAAGTCATTGCACCTGCTATATAAGCCCTGGTCCCATTAGTCCCCATCATACAATGGGAGCTCTGGTCTGTGTCCAGGGCTGCCCCAGGCACACCCACAGCCTCCCTCCTGAGCTCTGCAGCAGCCTCTTCTGCTTCTTTCCCAGAACTCTGTCCTCACCTCCCCATTCACCTCCTTTACTGATGACAACTGCGGGCTGGGCAGGGGGGTGCTCCTTCTCTTCCACCCCTGCCCACCCCACAGATGACCTTGGTGGGCATCTCCAAAGGCCAGCTTAATACAAGAGAGCATCTCGAGTGAACATCATGGAGAGAACGCCCTACCCTGGGTGGTGATCCCCAGTGCAAGACCCAGCCTTGTCACCGCTGTGGCTGGGGCGATGAGGAATGGCCAGACAGGTGGCTCCTGGGCCCCTCTGGCCATGGCACAGCTGCTGGAGGCCACATGGGAAGTCTGTGGGGATGCTCCCTCTGCCAGTCGTGTGCCTCCGATCGGCTCCTCATATTTCTAGGTCTTCTTTTCCCCTCTTGTCCTCAGCTGCCCTCCCAAACCTCATGAATCCCTCCCAGACTGGACTCTGAGAGCCCCAGATTCAGGGCACTCCGGGGAGGTGGCTGCAGAGGCCATGGTGCCTATTCCAGTTGGCGGGGGTCACATCCCAGGCTGACTGCTTAGAGGGCCTCGATCTTTTTTTTTTTTTCCTGAAGTCGGCTCCATCTGGACTTTCTCGTCAGCAAACACCCTGGCTTCCTACAGCTCTTCATCCTCTTTCTCAACTCAGGCGAATCTCCTTCCCTAGTGTCCTGGGGAAATAAATATCCGGCTATTCGATAGTGGGCTATTCAGCCTGGATTGAGGGCTATTTCTAAGCTCACACCTGCCATTCACCTCTTGTCCATACATCAGACCCAAACCTCTGTCTAACAGTACCCCGCCCTGGAATGGCCTGTGAACCAGGTACCACTGATGTGTTGCAGTAACACATTTATAAACCAGTGCCCTAAACGACCACGTGATGGCGCTCTTGTCCTCGTATTCCTCAGATAACATGGCTGTTTCCTTATCAATAATAGTCATTCTGTGAGCACCTGGTTTTAGTGCTTCCCCGACATTATCTTGTTGGCTGTGATGACGACTGTGATAATAAGTTTATGCCCCTTCTATAGGTGAATACATCGAGGCCAATTGAAATTCAGCCATTGGGCTAGAGCCATAGGGGTCCATGGTCAAGGCAAATCAGGCTCTGGGCTTTCTGAGCCTCTGGTGTCTTTCCCAGGTTTTTCACTGGCTGCCTATTCGTGGATCTTTTTCTTTTATTTTGTATAGGTTTTTGCCATAAGGCCATGCACTTACCAGAGAGAGAGACAGAGAGGGAAAGTAAGAAATCACCCTCCATGGGGGTTGCTATGTCACAGTCCCTTTTCCATTCTCCTCTTGGAATTTTGTAGACATGCACATGCACCTGGTGTGATTTTCAAATTGCTGGGGCCAGGACTTGAACTGTGTGAGAGTTCAGTGTCTTCACCACCATGCCACCTACTGACCCCCATCTGTGGCTCTTAATGTGTCAGCCTCTCTTTCAGTACTTAGTGTCACCTGTCCTGTGCTGAGTCCCAGGCAGGGATGGGGCACTGCTGAGGAGCACCCACTCAGAGGGGGTTGCATGCGCCTTGCTTCCCCCTGCTCCTCCTTCCTCTTAACCGGCTGTGTGATCTTGCCAAAATCCACTTTGTTATTTGCTGGAACTTATTGATTTCCAGCTCGTGTCCTCAGGAGCCACAGAGCCTTGTGTTTCTTTTGCAAAAACAAATAATCACACTGAGAGGTTGTGTCTTTTAGTCCTGGTGGGCAAAAACTGTCAATAGAAAAGGTGCCCAGAGCAGGCTTTATCATAGGAGTGAGGCAAAGGGGATTCCAGGCCCTTCCTTCATAGGGAGTTTCACTCCCTGAAGGATCTGAAGTACCACAAAGCAAACCAGGGTCAAGGCTCCATGAGGGAGGCCAGCAGGTGAAGGGACACTGGTTTTGCTGCTGCAAGTCTGTAGTGTTAGCATCTTTCCAGCATGTGCTAGACATATCACACCTCTGCTTGTGAGGAGCTCTGATGGCTCACCTGGCATAAGGACTGAGGACCCCACAAGGGCACCACTGAGAAGTCCACAGAAGTGGTTCAGCCAAACCCAGGTTGAGGCCAAGACTGTCAGGAGAGTGGCTGGGCTGAGGGTGGAGGGGCTGAATTGAAGGTTGGACTTTTCCCCTAGGCAGTGGGAAGTGTCACAGGAGTCAGACCTGGTGGGGGAGGAGAACCAGTGGAGAGCAGCACAGAGCCACAGTTGGGCCTAGGGTTGGGCCAGGGTAGTGGAGCTGGAAATGTGGGGTGGACCCAAGGGGACTTGGAAAGTGAAATGAACATGGGAGGGAGTAGCTGGACCAAGGACAGAGAGCAGCCAAAGTGGCCCTCTGGCTTAGGAGTGGTGGGACCTGGGAGAGGGGCAGCTCAGGCTGAGTTCTGTTCAGAGTGAACAGGGCTATCTAGGAGGCAGCCAGATGCATGGCTTGGGGCTCCGGGCAGAGATCTGGGCCCAGACAAGCCAAGGGTCACCAGCAAGGGCAGAGATGGAGTTGTGCCCCTGGAGTGGGTACAGGTTCAGTGGTGCTCTCTTTGGCAATGGAGGGAGCTGGATGAGGGGGTTATGCTATGTGGGCCGTCCAACCCAGCTCGGGCTGACAGCTGTGCGCGGTGCTGTGGGCCTGGTGCTGCCAAATCTGCTGAGGTCAAGAAAAGGTGGGGGCAGCAGTTAGCGTAATGGCTATGTCGCTGGCCTCCCATGTAGTCGACCGCGGTTCACGTCCCGGACCCGGTGGCTTAAACTCACAATGGGAGCGTGTGCGTGCGTGCCCAAGATTCCGGGAGGAGAACGGAGGAGAAGGGATTGCAGCGTGACTATCCCCCCTGGGGGGTGATTTCTCGCTTTCTGTCTCTATGTCTCTCTCTGTCTGTCTGGCGAGCACACGCAGCCTATAGCAAAAACCTCTCAAAAAAAAAAAAAAGTAAAAAAAAAAAAGAAAGAAAAGAAAAGGTGCAAAACTAGGTTTTATTGAAAAAAATCTTGATTTTTATTTTGTTTTATTTTGCTATGGGGCATGTTGCACTTGCTGGAGAAAGAAAGAGAGAAAAAGTGAGACTCACCCCTCTGGGGGGATGGCCACACTGCAACCCCTTCTCCTCCATTTTCCTCTCAAGATTTTGGGCATTGGGTCCAGCATATGGTGTAAATGGCTACGTCACTGGAATCTCATGTAGTCGACCATGGTTTGAGTCCCAGATCCCGTGGCTTAAACTCATGCCAGGTGCATGCATGTGCGTGCCCAAGATCCCAAGAGGAGAATGGAGAAGGGATTGCAGCGTGACTATCCCCCCTGGGGGGTGATTTCTCACTTCCTGTCTCTCTCTGTCTGTCTGGCGAGCACACGCAGCCTATAGCAAAAACCTCTCAAAAAAAAAAAGATTTTTGGCATGCACACACACATGCCTGGTCTGTTTTCAGGCTGCTGGGTCTGGGACTCAAACTTTGTAGTTGACCATGTAGGATCTCCACACCACCAGCTGGCCCTCAAAATCTTGATTTTTAAATATTAGCCAATACAAAAATATTTTTTAAAAAGTAAAACAGACTAAGGCCAGCAGGTAATATAGTGATTAAGGCTCTGGATTCCCACATGGTGGACTACAGTTCGAGTCCTGGACCTGGCAACTTGAAACACACTGGGCACGTGTATGTGCATGCCAAAGATCTTGAGAGGAGAATGGAGGAGAAGGGCATGTGGTTGGTGTGGCCATCCCCCCTGGGGGGTGATTTCTCACTTTCTGTCTCTCCAGCGAGTGCACATGTTCTATAGCAAAAATCTCTCTCAAAAAAGAAAAAAAAAAAAAGAACTAGAGCAAATTAAACATCATCTGCCAACTAGTGTGAGACCTAGGAGATGGGAAATGAGAAGAACATTCGGGACGGTGGTGCAGAGGAGGGAGGGCAGTACCAAGGAGACTGCTGTTGACTGGTGGAAATAGGAGTCAGAGTTCCTTGCAGGGGTGAGGGGGGTACTGACCTGTGCTGAAGTGGGCTGGGGTGGGGGTGGAGGGTCGTTCCTGGCCTTTGAGCCATCTGTAATGGAGTGGGAGTGAGAGGGTGTGCCCTCCCACCCTGAGCCTGCCAACACAGCCCCTTCTTCCCCAGAAAGTCACTAGCTGCTGAGATGAAAATATATCCATGGAACAGAACACCAACGAACCATATGCCAAAACAGGAGAGTTAGATCTTTTTGCGAGAGGACTTAATTCAGTTTCAGCCTCTCTTGGTGTGAATGAAGCACTGGGGACCCCAATTCTGGCTGTGGTGAAGCCACAAGAGCATGAAGCAGTCCAGAGTGGGAGGCTGGGCTCTCAGGTGCCTGCAGCAGGCTGTGTGGAACATCAGCCCTGACTTCTGGCAGGTGCCAGGCTCTCGCAGCAGCATTTCCTGGACAGTCTGAGCATGGTTCCTTCTAGGGGCGCTGGGCAGGCTTTGAGCCATTAAGCCTCCTCTTTCCGATTCATCTGAAAGGAAGAGAACCCACACCCAGTGCAGCTGCTGCTCTGGGGCAGAAAGCCCTGTTCTACATCAGCTGGTCAGATGGTGCCTCAGAAAACTCTGGAAGCACCAAGAGCGGCTTTTGGATAGAGAACAAAAAGTCGACACTCTGAGCATCTCAGGCTTAGTAGAAGATAATGTGTAATGACCAAATTACCATGGTCTAAAAACTCCTCCAATTGCATCCAAATTAGCAGAAATAATTATGATTCACTTTAATTAGTGACTATGGAAGCGAAGCCATGGGCTGGTGGGCAGAGAGCCTGGCATGGCAGCTGCATCAAAGCCAGGAGGGAGGGCCATCCGGGCCAGGGAAGCTGAGGCTCAAGCGGGCATGGTAATGAGCCTGGGGACCTGAGAGCCTGTCTGCCTGCAGCTCTTGGGCTGCACGGGTCTCGTCTGTGTGAATGCAGAAGGCAGGGCCTCTCTTCCTCCACTTACAACCACCATTGTCACTTCAGCCACTATTGGAACCAATGCCGTGAGAGCCGAAGCTCTGAATCCTTCCTGGGTCTCACCTCTCTAGCCTGCTCCCACCCACCCTGCCCTCATTTCACGGGTGACAAAACAGTGCCTCAGAAATCTGAGGAACTGACCCGAGATCACTCAGCGAGGTCTCTGAATCCGGAGCCTTGGCTCTTGTTCCTGCGCAGGAGCCCTTCAGTTTTGCTCCATGAAAGGCCCTGTCTGCCTCCCACTCCAGACCCTGGAGTGAGGATTCCCACCCGCAGACCAACTCCCCATGTGGCATTGGGACCAGCTGGTGCATGGCCCTCTGGCTGGGCCAAGGCTTCCTACCTTGAGGAACAGAGCTCCCTTAGAGGCCAGGGCATCAAAGCTCTGCCCGTTGGGGTAACAGTGATAGGCCACGTCCATGATGGGGTAGCGGCTGGCAAAGAAGAGGCCGCTGTTAAGAAACTTGAAGCTGCAGCAGCTGTGGCAGGCCCAGACCCCCAACTCATA